TTAATATAATAGACAAATGAAGATTTATTTCCATCTTCTGTTTCCTACAAGCAGATTAAGATATTATTTTATGAATAAAACTGTCTTTTTATGCTTTTATTGATAACATATTTGTGGATTTTTTTTAAACAATATAAAACAGAAATCATGTCTGCTCAAGAATACACAGTCGGTGAAAAATTAAGACTCGTTATTTAGCAATGAAAGTTTTCTTTTAATTCTGAATGCTTTATTGAATTTTAGTATATATGATATCATTTTTTAAATGCTATGAACTCGATTTTTAGCGAATATATCTCCTTCATTTATTAGGATCGAACGTAATCGTGTTGTAAAATCAAGTATCGAATGTAAACTGTTTCCTTTTCAATTTCTTGATCGAAAGTTTTATTTGGTCTATGAATGTTACCTTTGTTGTTACGTGTATATATGTCATAGACATTTAATCTAGACTCTTGCAGCAGTATTCTTTACTTAATATCATACATTGGATAATGATGTATAGAAATTCGAATTGAAAAATAGGAATTTACTATACTCTCATTTCAATTGAAACTTCAATCATTGATTTTAAATAAAACCTAAAAAACTAATTATTGGTGTTCTCGAAATAAATACATTGACAATAATCAATTCTTTTTGCGACATTTTTTTTCGATTTTCTCTTATTTCCAAAAAAAAAATGATGAAAAATTATTAGAAATTTGCTACAATAAAAAGTCTTATTATTTATTATTTTCAATTTAATAATGGAAAAAACGAAAGTAAACCTTGTCTTTTCAAATTTTCAATAGTATTAACAGCATTAGGAACAACATTAAGAACAACTTTAAGATAAGTTTTCATTAAAGTTTCTATTAATTGTTGAAATATTGTAACTAATGCTTTAACACTAACATCAATATTTTGATTATATTGACTAAGAATATGAAGCCAATCACCTTGAATAGTATTTGCATGCATTTCTAATTCATGTTTTGTTTCTATAGCCCATTGATTGATTTGTTTAGGAATTGCATCCATTTTATCATAAAATGCACGAATTTTTTCTTCAAAATTATATTCACCTTTTTCTAAAGCCATCAAAGCTTCACGTTGCATTAGAAATAAAAATTCATATAAATGATGAACATTTGATTTTAAACGAGCAATTAATTGAGAATATTTTTCTGTAAGAAGATTTTTTGATATTGTTGTTGGATGCTCAACTCTATAGCCAACAGTATTTAATTGATTATTAAGAACTAATTGTCCACCTATCGAAAAAGAAAACAAAAAATTTAACGTTAAATGATCAATATACAATAAATTTTTACCTTGAATCATCATATCAAAAGCTGGATTAAATACTTGTTCCCAAAGAAAATCTGCAGTAACTTCTATTCCATTTGCAGTATTTACTAATTGACTGATAGCATTTTCTATATGACGTGTAATATTATTCCATGAATTTTCAATTGTTTGACCTATTTGATTTGCAGTTGATTGAAATGTATCACCAACATTATTAACTATTTGACTAATAGGTCCAAAAACCCCATGTGAAATACCAATAAGAAGAAATATGATGAAAAGTGTAGATTGCATTTTTAAAATGATAATAAAACCATTGTAGAAACATAATATTTATATATATATGGAGAGAGAGAGAGAGAGAGAGAGAGAAAATGGAATGATTAATTTTTGCTCCTTTTCATTATCAATTACTTCTGGTTGAAGAAATAGAATATTCTATTTACAATAGACTTTGAAATATATACTATTTTAAGATTAAATACGAAAGACTATTCAGCACAAACTATTTTCTCATTTCATTACACTGTATAGTGTACAAGGACGGATTAAAACATCGAACACCTGAATAAGCTAAATTTGAGCATATCATACTATGATTTATATCTAAATATAGTATCATAGTTGAAAAATCAAATTTATTCTTTTTAGTATTGAGATACACGTTTCAAGGGACTTGCGCTTAAAATATTCTGTTTGAATTAGACTTAAGAACATTCGGTGTCCTTGAAATGAAGGGTAAAGAGTATTAAAATATCGAAATATGTGAAATGATTTTTTACTTATAGTTAGTAAGTGTTTTAGAAAGCATAAAGAAGAATAAATCATTAGGACTTAAGTGAGGAGTGTGAACTAATGGTCACTCAGGTAGCGTAACCAAGAATGGCTTTGACTGGGTATCATTCTGCCACCAGAAGAAAGAAAAACGTCATTATTAACACCATTGGTACTAGATTTCATGGATCTCCAGGAGAATCTCGAGCTGGGAGTCAGAAGAGTGACTTCGTCAATTTTGAAAAGTTTTCTCTTCTTTCCAGTGCAGTATCAGCATTTTATTGAATTTTTCTGTTAACAAATCCGCCAAATACTCTCAATTTCCTTTCCCTCCAAATCCGATCAATTCAATTGTCTATGATTTCTTGGTGACGCCGCTAGATCAGTCTAACCGATGTGCATGTCAAAAAACCAGGATGCTATTAAAATATCAGACTTATTGTACATTTGTTTAGAATTTCTATGCAGATGATAAACCTAATGAATTATTACAAAAACGATGTCTTGATACGATCATGCTGAAAATCTGATGAGAAAAGTACTGCAACTGATTAATAGCTTTTGAGTTGTGATTGTGCATCATACAAATCATAATGAACAATGAATACTCTGAAAAGGATTCAAACTCTTAGCTTATCGCTACGAATATATTGCAGTTTTAGGGTATTTCTTTTTAAAAAGTCAATATCAGAAGAATAGTTTACTGTGAATATTGCATATCTTGTCATTGTTTGTATCCTAAAATACAGCTATGATAAAATGATGTCTATTACACTACTCTTACTTACAAGTTGACTTGATGTTCTTATTTCAAGATAAGAATAAATCAAAAGATCTGAAATTGTTATAATAAACTACTCTCATTCATGGTTGTTTCTACAGAAATTTCCAAGTCGACATATAAAAACTTTGTTTTCCTGATGTTCCCGAGAAGGACGACAAAATCGACTTAAAAAATACGATAATATAGCAATATCTACGCAACAATAAGCTGAAGACTTGAAATTTGTTTCGGCATATTCATCGCTCATTCGAATTTACATAATTCATTTAGTCACTAAAAAGTGATTAATTAGTTAGAAGACGTTTCTAATCAAATTTGGGATGATTCGTAGCATGTCGTACGCAGCTATACGATGAAAATTCTGCTACGAAATCAGATTGTAGGATGAGGTTAAAATAAGATGCAAAAGTCTTTCCAACAATTTAAAATCTTTTATACCATATTGCCGACTTCTAATTCAAGAAACTTTTTGTTCAAAAGTAAAATGCCTGAACTACAGATTTTGTGCCAGAAATATTTTTCCAGAATTAACCTGACGAAGAGGAAAAATCCAAGATCAAACAGTTCGAAAATAGTTCTTGCAACTTCATTACCAAGCAACAGCATTTTTTTCTTTTCTGTTATTTTCTTTTTTAAATCAGAGAAGAAATGGAAAAAACACGTTTAATACTGATTTTTATAGCGTAAAGAGTGCTCTTTTAAAAATTAAATTTATTCTTGGTTTTTATATCAAAATATAGTTTTTTTCTAGAAAAGACTGAGTAAGTTGATCGTTCTTACTAGCTGATCATGTTGCAACCGTTAAAAAAGTTTTGCTGAATTTCTCTGCTAAATTTCTATATCCTGAAATGTTCCGAATAAATAATGTAAAAAGAATTCATTTCATGCATGATTTCTGCTGATACTAATTAATGTTCTTGCAAAGTGATATTTCTCGAAAAAGTTTTTAGTTTTGCACAAATCTTATTTTTTCCGCACCTTCCTAATGCAAGAGTTAGGAATAGGTCTAAAAAACTTTTGCCAAAGCTGATATGAATGAGTTTTTGATACATTTTTCTTCCTATTTGATTCATTCATGTAGCTAAACATAATTCATTAAAACAGACTTTTCAAGTTGGAATAAAAAAATACAAGAATGTTTTGTTTTTTTTGGGAAGTGTTCAGTTTTTGGTTTTTTTCTTCTCGTCAGATTGATTCTGGAAAAATATGTGAGGTACAAAATTTGTGCTTCGAACATTGTTCTTTCTAACAAAGTCTGTTTTATGTAGTGTGAAATTTAAGCACTTATCAAAGAATGTTTTTAACTGACTAATCACTGTTGAATTCAGACTCTGCATGAACTAGATTCTAGAGAGATATGAAAAACGTCAAGTGGATAAGTCTCGTTAGGCCTTCTATCGAGAATTATTGGCATGTTACTATAATTTAGCCTCTGACATGGTATACACCAAAAAGTCGAATAATAGTATTTCGGTCTAAGATTTTTTCACCGATAGATCTATTCATCAGAAGAATGTTTCTTTCTCGATATATTGAAGTCCCAAAGCTAACTCATATTTTATGAAAAATGCTAGAATTTTCTGGTTTTTTTTAGATGGAAAAAATATCTTAGGTCAAAATATCGTCATTCAATTTGTTGGTATATATCAAATCAGAGGTTAAATTCTATTGAAATAGCCGAATTCATCTATTGAAATCTATCCTATATCTCGAGCTTGAACTCATAACCAATAAATCATATGAAAACATTCTCTCGCTACTTTGACAATTCGATAGAAAGACAAGTAGCATGATATCAATAATGAATCATATGTTCTATTATAATCATTAGAAGTCATTTGAATTTTTATATGATAATTAAACGATTTCAGATTTTACAATATTGTCAATGATTATATTCAATACACTGATATGTCAGTTTGATGAATTTTCATATTGGATGTATTTTATTTCCAAATCTAGACATGTTATTTTAGAAACTGATACTGCATCGTCAATGAAACATTGTAAACATTGAATAAAAAAAGAAATTCTTGTTTTTCTTTTTTTTGTTCTTGACTTGTGTATTCTATGGCATTGTTTAATCCCATCTAGTTCTGTTTTTTTTCTCTACACTCTCTTTCGCGTTTTTAAACGTTCATTTTACAGTATGAATCGAAAAGAAGTATATAACTATAAACCAAGGTTACAAGAAATTGTACCATCCACACGTTTCGGACAAGGTTCGTTTGGTTTAAAAAAAATTAAATGTATTCTCCTCTTTTTTTTGTTTAGCATTAGCATCACTTTTTTATTTAAAACGACACAAAAAACGAGATGATTATGGTCGTGCCCCTGTTGTATCACGTCTTCGAGCTCAATCAACATTACAAATAACAGCATCACCTAGTTGTAATACAATGCCATTTGAAGTTTTAACACCAATAAAAACATCAACAACACCACCACCTATTCGATTATCTTCGTTGAAATGAAAAACAAAAAACAAACAAATTAAAGTTCAAATTTATCATATTCATGAATGCGAGCACTTTTTTGAAGTATATCAGCTAATAATTGTAAAATATTCGATGGTAAACTTTTTAATCGACTTCGAGTTATGTATTTTTCATTATTTTCATCATTGTTTAATTGTTTCCATAAATCATCTGCTGTCGGTAATGTCAAATCTTTTTCAGCTAATTCATGTGTTGCTTGATGAAAAAATTCATGAAATATATCTTTATATAGTTGATCATTTCTACCAAGTAAAAGAAGTAAATAAGTACGTGCATCATCAATAGTAATTGTTCGTTTAGATAAATGACGAGTAGCATGTTCATATCTCCATTGAAATTGTCCTTTATTTAATGAGACATAAATAGGTGGATTTTTTTCACAATCATTTCCAATAAAATCATCTCGAGTATCTGGTGGTGCCATATCAATAGATAAAGTAATTGTTCGTCCATGTGCTCGTACTTGATGAAATATATAAGCTGGAATAAATAAACAATCACCTTCACGTAATGTAGCCCAATACCATGGTATATTATGTAAACGTTTATATTTATATGCATTAACTAAATCTACATCAATACGAGAATAAAGATCACCATTTGATTGTCGTATAAGATCAAAATCATGTGGATATTGATTTGAAACATCATAAATAATAAAATCTTTTCGACCATCTAATACACAATGTAATGTGTTTTGTGAATGTGCTTGTAACAATGATGCTGTATCACCAGCACTTATCCATAGAATAGGTTCTAATAAACGATCACGAAATGTTCCACAATTAATAAGTGATGGTAATGGTGTTTCATGTTTCATTTCATCAGGTATAATTGTATTCATATATAAATCTTCATGTCGATATTGTTCAAGAAATGTTTTTAATGACATCATTGTTAATGTATCAACAAGACGTTGTTTTCGTTTAGCAACAGTGATATTTAAATGTCCATAATTTTTTGATAAATAACCATCTGTCCATAAAACATCTAATGATGGAACAATACCACGTATAACTACTGATCGATTACCTTGAACATATAAATGATAAAGACGTGCCGGTTCTATATTAAGTGAATCTTCTAAGACAGATGATTCAGCTCGTCGTTGCCAACCTAATGGACGAAGATGACCAAGAGGTATTGATTCATGACGTTCAAGAATAGGTGGAAATGTAACATGTAAATTCATATCTTTTGGAAAATTACTACCATCATTGGCAGTAAAAATCCATATTATTTTAGACTGTATAAGAAGAAATGTTAATAGTAACATGATATAGTTAAAAAAGAAAAAGAAAGATTGGTATCTACTTGGTTTTTTAAGTAGTGTTGCCACCAGCTGGCTATTCTATGCATATAATTATTTTTATTTATTTATGAAAAATTCAGGGCAAATGAAAAAACCTATAATGACGTGGCAATCTTTTAGTAAAGCACTCGATTATTCATTGTGATTAAGTTCGTATTGAATAATTTCTTTAGATCGAATAACACAAACTTCAAGCTTATATTAATCAATGCAGTGCAAAAAAAAACAGAGAATATTAAGTATTGTTAAATTTGAAAAACTAACAAATGAAAGTGTGTCTTGTAGTCATGGTTTTGAAAATTGCACAGAGCTATTTATGTTATCTCATGCATTTGACAGTATTTGAAATTTTCTCTTTCTTGATTCAACTGACGAATGAACCACCCGACTTAATACCCGCTGTTTGAGCTCATATTGAGCTTACGAGGACACCGTGGTGAGTCTAATGATCCATAGAATATCCTGAAAGTTTCAACAAAAAACGAATGTTCTTTTATTGAGATGTCGAATTTCCAAAAAACTCGCTTACTACAGGTGTGTTACAAAACTCAAGTTTACATGATGGGTGAAATTTTGCGTAGACATTCTGTTTTTTTCAATTTTTCCGTGTGTATTGGAGATGCGACTTGGTTCGATTCGCAATCTTTCAAACTAGTTTCGACTTGAATTTCGAAAAACTTGAATAGATATCGTCTCTCGTATATAACTAACGGTTAATCAAGGACTCAGTATAGTGATCACAACTCGACTGCAAACACCCATGATACCGCTGATCGAGTTGAGTACGGATTTAAAAGGTTTGAATTTGATGAGCACTGACGATGAGTATTAATTCAAGCAGTTTTCTTCTTAGTTATACAAAGTCAAAAGATTGTCTATCTTAGAAAAAATTTCTGCAATTTATTCGCATTTTGTAAGTAATTTGTACGTGTATTTAATTCATTGGTTTTCTAGATAGATTGATGTTTAATATTTTAATTCTTCCTTTTAGTGAAACGGAAGGTTTCCGATTAAAAATTATTCAAAATGTATTCAATGATCTTCATATGTAATTATTCTCTAGTTGCATAATACTTCAGTGTTCGTCTTGATTTGATTTTTATACGATTGCAGCTGATGCCGTTTTTTTACTGTGAACTGGAGTTTGTAATAATAAAAAAAAAGAACATTGGAATACTTTTAAGTCTCTCTGATCTTTTGAAATATAATTTTTGATAATCAAATACTATTTTCGTAGATGTTTTTTTTTTCAATGAATATTTTCTTCTATTTAATGCTTTATTTTTATTTGCTTATGTTGAATACAAACAAATAATACAAGAAAAAACAAGATCAATTAGGTTTAACAATATTTAATGATCTTCCTTCATTTGCTTTAACTTTATTAGCACATTGTTGTTCAATATTTTTTGCTATTTCAGTTGTTAAACGTTGTTGTACAGCTTCAAGACCTGTTTTACCAGTATTCATATTTGTTTTCTTTTTTTTATTCATTTTTGTTTTTGATATTTTACCATGATCAATTTTTTTTGCTGATGATTTCTTTTTTATATTTGATGGTAATTGTACTTTTGTTTTTAATTTACCTTGTGGCATTGTTTTTTGATAATCTAAAATAATTAAAACTAAAAATTAGAATACATTTTTTTTTGTCTATAGATTTCATATCAAGATTTATTTGTCCATGAAAAAAGATCACGTAAAACAAGACATTGAGCTAAATCTTCTTCATTTTGTGGTCGATATAAAGGTTTTTCTCCATCATGATAAATAAATCTATAATAAAAAACAAACAGCATTTTATTTTATTTTTTCAAAACATTACTTACGGAAAACGTAAAACCCATATAGAATCTTCTGTAAGATGAATTGGTTGAGTATAACTTGGAAAAAATGTTGGACTATTTGGACCAGCTGGTACAACTTGTGGATGAAGTACACATTGAATTGGTGTTGATGATGATGGTGTTACAACATATGCACGCATTAATTGTGCCCATACACGTGCACCAGTAGATAATATTCGACATGAACATGGAGTATATAATGGCATATCAGATCGAACTAATTTAGCACCATCATCCTAATACGAAAACAAATAAAATATAAACAGTATGTAATAGAGAGCTTAAAAATTAAGTTTAAAAAAAAAGAAAAAAAAACAGACTTTAACAATTCCATTTTGACCAACACGAATAACATGATTAGGTGATGCACATAAAAATCTATGACCACGTGGACATTCATATTCACATCCAATATAAACACGAATGGTAACATCCCAAATTGATGAACTAGCTGCACCTGAAAATTTATTGCATTAATTAAAAAAATAAAAGACGATAGTATACAATATTTTTTCAATGATCTGTAAATTTGAGTTATTGTTATGAAAAAATGTTTTAAGAAAACTAAATCTATTGGAATAAAAAAAAAGGCGCAAGAAGAGCGATATTCTAGTAACTATAATACGTTGATCTCGAATCCAAGATGAGATTTTGATACTTTCTACTCTTTTGTGTTTTGTTTATGTAAGACAAGATATTTATAATTTATTATATGGCTATGGTCATATAAAGGTTAAAAAGTCGACAGACAGCTAATACTAAAGGGGTGCGATGACTCATGTATGGATAAGTGACAATTGTCTTCTCTTGATTATTTTTATATCACTGTTATGTATTTCTTATATATTTCTTTTTCGAATATTTACTTATACACATTAGCTATCGTTCGTCATGAACGATTTAATTCATTGTTCTTACCCGAATGGTTATAAACGAAATGGTAATTGATTTACAAACTGAATGTTCACGGATGATGTTTTTGAACATAAGCATTATCAGTTAAGATGGTCAGAAAAACACAAATATCGAGAACAGTACGTCAGCATTTATGATGAAATCTTGTCAAATATCCCTTTCAAATTTCAATGATTTCTTTTATCTATAAATATTGTATTGTGTTCTGATGGGATCCTTAAAGAATTATCTAGATTTTCTCTTTCTAGCTGACGAACACTCATTGTTAGAAGCACAAACACATAGCACAAGAATCACATTGTCTTAGGTGAGCAACCTGTTCTTCAGATTTTAGTTACTAGAACGTAACTCTTCTCCTGCTCTTCTCATTAATATAGACTTTATTTTGTCAAAACAATTGTGGTCTTTCAAAATAAAATTTTATCACAACAGTTATACTTAAAACAAAATCGTTCACAAAAATTTGGCTACGTTTATATTAACGAATGAAATTTTGATAAACATAAGCACTAACCTCGTCGATTATTTTTATAACTACGTGTAGCTGTTGTACGTTGTTGATGATACTGGGCAGCACCACCACCAGCAGCATTTGTTGTTGATGTTTGATTATTATGTGGATTTATATCCCATGGTATGAGATGATTTAAACTAGTCAAAAAGCCAGGTTGTTGAAGACCTAATAAGAAATTTCCAATTTCAGTATACATAAAACCTTAACAAATTCAATCGGATATTGAAGGATAACTTTTCTGCTATGATTTGAAATTCGAATCCGATCGATAATTACTATTCATTTATATTAAAAATATACGCGATTAGAGAAACGTGAGTCCAAGGTTTCTTTTTAGTCTCAGTACTGGTATGACCTGGCAACTTTCTTTAGTTTGCGCACTCGACTATTCTAGAATTTATACATAAATCATTATTAGAATACCAGATCATGGTCTTCTATAATAATTAATTCAAACATTAACTCAAAACTTCTCAATTATTCATGAGATAAATTCGAAAATGAATCATATAAATTTCATATAGATTAATAAATCTGTTTTTTTTTCATATACATATAGAGATTTTCAATACAATATTTCAATTTTTATATCTACTTTCTCGAAAAACGATTCCTATATTTAAATACATAGTTCCGTATTAAGTCTAGAATGTAAACCAAAATTTAATTTTAAATTACCTTTCGTCGGTATATAATCAGATGCTCGACCAATACAACATAAACTCCATGAACTATGTCGAGGTAATAACCCAGGTGGACTATCTGAATGTGTCATGCCATCAAGATATTCAGTTGTACTTGGAATAGGTTGTTCATCATCAGCACATGTAACTGTCTTATGTTTATCGGATTTTTCACCAGTTATGTTATCTAATGCTTGTTGTTCATCGTCTGGTACAGGTGAATAAAGTGCAACTGATTTTGATTGACCTTTCATATTCAATTAAATTGTATATATATTTATCATTAAATGAGTAGAAAACAATAAATAAATATTTACTTAGATCAGATGCACCACTAAGATCTTGAGATGATTTAGAAAGTTTTGATTCAATTTTAGGGTTGTTACCTAAACAAATAATCAATATTTGAATTTATAATTTAAACCAAAGAAATTGTTTTTTTTTCATACAAGCTCGAGCTTCTGTAGATGTAACAGTTCCACGAAAGATTGGAAATTCAAAATAAATTGGTTTTACTGATAACATTTTATTAACATCTTGATAAAAATCATAATTAGCTTCCTAATTCATAAGATAAAAAAGAAAAGCATATGTATTTTTGAATATACATATAAATTACTTTTAAATCAAATGGATCTTCACGTTCTTGCAAAATTTGACCACAATTACTAGCTGCCATTAATTGAATCTTTGAACAAAAATCATCAAACATAAAGAAAGAAAAAGATGAATTAGTCATTTCATACCTTGCTATTATGTGATCGTATTGGTAAATGTGCCATATTAGCTGATTCACTTGAATCTTCTTCACCAGGTACGCGATGTAGCTAAGTAAATATAATAATAACCTTTCTTAGCAATTATCAAGCTTCAAAAAATCAGTAAGGACAAAAGGAATACAGTTTTTTTTTTCAAAACGATAAAAGTAATTGTCTTTTATATTTTACCTGAATACTGCATCCAATCGGAGGGCAACATCTGTTACTATGTGCATCATACAGACTCTATTGAGTATTTTAATGTCGTGAAAAGAGTTTGAGTTTTTAGGTTATCGCTGCAGAGATGCTGCAAATTCACAGTAGTTTTCAAATGAGTGCTGTAGTTTCTCTCAGAAACATCAACTGGTTTTCAAATTAAGATTTGAAACTTTCTACAGAAACAAGCTTTAATAAATATGAGCGATGTAAAAGACATACTTTTCCCATAACTATATCTTTAGAGAAGAACAACAACGAGATCTGAAACATTCACAAGAAACTATTCCCGTTAACGATTGTTTCAAGTTAAAGTTTGAAAATCAGTTTAAGACCAAGGTATTCGTTTAAAAACCTACCGTAATAGTGCAGTCTCTGCACAGTAGAACCTGCCAGTTTAATCACAAGCCCGATCGGTTTAGGGTCTAATAGGCTCTGGCAGTCTGAGAAATATATGGAGTATACCGCTCAACTAAAATATAACAACTGGGAAAAAGTATCTCGTATATTCTGAGTAACTATTCAACTCTGATTATAAAGTTTCTCTAAGGGTATTGAAGTCCGATTTAACCGAGTTTGGCACTTGTTAAACACATTTTTATAATAATGCTGATAGAATATCATACAAAGGTTTTTTTCAAAAACTAAAAAGCTAAGAACTGTTTGACGATGCATGTGGAAATTTGACGTCTCTTATTGAGCAGTACTAGTTGTGCCGAGCGTGGAGTGTCTCATATGTAAAACTGAATAATGCTTATCAAATAAACCCTTCAAAGCATAACAAGATAGTCGTTATGCGTAACATATTGCTTTTGACATTAGAAATAGAACAAAACTTCTTTTATTTGACGTTAGTTTATGTTTCTTATGACATAGAAAAAAGTTCATTCAATAGTACTCCTCTCTTTTTTCACCACTTCTGGTTCTCAAACAAGATACAACTGACTAAACGAGAACTTTTATCACAGATAGAGCATCTAAGATGAAGAGACATATTTCCATGATAGTTTTCAGGATTTCTTCGGTGTTATATTACGGCCCTCATATCCAGACACCAAAACCAAAAAGTAGCCAATTCTACTTCTACTGGAATACTTTCAAGTCTCTACAGTAAAAATTTCAGCCTAGTTGGTTATATCCTATGCTCGAAAACCATTTTCATGAATACGAATATTTATAAATGAATAAGAATATTTTTTTTCCATACTTCATTTTTACATGGATTTCTAGTAAGACTAATAGCTTCACATAATTGTCTTCCATCATGCCATAAACGTGTGCATTGTTCATTAAGTTGTTGTACATAACGTTTATAACTTGAACCACGTGCATACGTTGCAAAAAATTCATTTGTTGCTTGTAACTAAAAATTAATATTTTTTTTTTTTGTTGTAAAAAAAGAAATTATTTTAAAATCTTTGTTTTCTATTGGATACAAACTCGTTGTTCATGAAAATGTTGAGTATATCTTGATGGTAAACCATCTTCATAATATTTAATAGCCATTGGTAAATATTTTTTACATCGTGTTTCATTTAATTTTCCATCAGGATCAATATTAGCTCGAAGCATACCAAATGCTTGTCGCATAGTTTTATTTGTTGCTGGTATTGTTTCAAATAATTCACGTATAGAATTAAATAAATTTATCCATATTGAATATGTACATAATTCAAATGATGATGTTTCACTACGTGCACCACCTGATATACCATCATTTGACCAACCATCCGTTAATGCTTCTTCAATATGACGAAATAAAAAACGTTTAAAAGCATGTGTATCATCTTGTTGATGAGTATGGGAGCGATTAAAAAGATTAGAATTACTTGCTAAATTAAATATGTAGAAAAATTAAAAAAAAGAGAGAATTATGGAAATTTAGCATTCTTTTTTTTTTATTTACATGAATCTTTTGTTTGCTTAACAAAACCTTGTAAAATTCCAAGTAATTTTTGTGTTTGTCCTAATGATGAAGATTCTTTATAACAACGATGAATAAATACAAATGGTTGGTTATGTGCAATAGTAAGTAATGCTGAATTACTGTAAAGAATAAAGAAACATTGATTGAAGCTTTATGAAATACGATCTCAAAGAAACCTTCAACTGTATAATGTAGAAAGGACTAGAATGGACAAGACGATTCTTCTGTTTTCTTCCCTCAATTTTTATTGCTTTTCAGTATGGCATGGTGCTTGATGATATTCTACAGGTTAGTTTTTATACAGCTGAATAAAAGGCTTGTGAGTTCTGTGAAAAACTTTTTATCGTTGATTTTGTTAGAAGATATATTCATCGATAGAGCCAAGTGTGCTAATTATGAATACCAGTATACTGAATACTCAAAGCTCGTTAATGAAAAAGAAAAAGAATGCTTTCACAAGCCCACCTTAAGCTTTATATCCAGATTTTATCTTTGAATTTCATCCGTTGACTATTCTAAAGCCATTGAAAAATGATTTGTAATAGATAAAACAATTTACTTTACTCGAATATGATCTATGAAACCTGTTTGGCAGCATAATCGGTTATGAAAATAAGGATTATCGAGCCAAAAGCTGCTTTTTATGCGTCTTCTACGTACACTGAGAATTTCGAAATGCTGTGATAGAAGACTAAAAGCAATGTAAAATTTGAACTGAAAAGATTCTTTTTAACACTCTATTTGATGCTGCATTCAAAAAGCTAAAAAAAAGTTGGTGCCTAAAGATTTTTGAGAATGTTATGGAAAACTTCTTCAGAATCTTACAAATATTAATATAAATTATTTTCTAGAGTTCTTCATTCGTTTCGATCAGATTATATCCCCGATACAGTTAATTATAGAAATGAATGTTTCGATCCAACCTATCGGAAATACTGGGTACGCTGTAAAGCTGTATTTAAAGCTTATGTGACATGACACACATGATGATGAACTTGGTTGCCATTCAAACCAGTAAGATTCTGGAAAGGTTTCTAGAACATTCTCGAATATGTTCAAGTGTCACTGTTTTGGCTTTTTTGAATCTAACATATGATAGAAACGTCGAAAATAACACATTCAGTCGAAGTTTTGCATTACTTCTAGTCATCTGCCAGGAGAGTTCGAAATTCGTAGTTTTTCTAGAAGATGGAAAAAAAATCAGATTTTATCATTCATATGCGAGTAAATTACATTTATTTAGCTATGAAGAGTTTTTTTGTCATGTTGTTAGAATAATCTATGGAAAAGGTACTGAGATGAAAACTGGACACAAAAGCTAATGGCGCACTTGGAAAAGTATTGTTTTCCTTGTTTATTACGAGGCTTTGAGTATTCAATAGACTGATATTCGTAATTAGCACACTTGACTCCGTCCATGAATATATGTTTCAACAGAATCAAAGATAAAAATTTTTTCATAGGTACTACAAGTTTTTCAGTCAACTATACAAAAACTAACCAATGAAATATCAGCAGGTCTTATGTCTTACTGAAAAGTAATAAAAATTGAAGGGAGGAACTAAATCGCTTACATTCGCTCTATATTGAAATTGTCTGAATACAGTAGACACCCTGTGGCTTCTACTATGGAGAGAAGAGTGGGTCTTCTATTTTCAAAGAATAATGTATACAATCTTACATTTGATTCGAAATAATATAAGAACATCTCAATGCATTAAAAATAATATCTTCTAAATTATGAGCCATATTAATTAATTTTTGATCATCATCTCGATCACCACCACCAGGTATATCATTTCCTTTATGATGATGATTTTCAAATATAAATAATGCACGTGGTACACAAAGACGTCCATCATTCATATTAATATCAGCTTCTTTTAATACGTTCAATGAACGAAGTATTTCTAATACAGCTGGTTTAGTTTTATGACGTAAAAGTTCAATAATACGAAAAAAACGTAAATAATTTAAATCAAATGTATGTGATGAATGAGAAATCTGAATTAAATCAAAAAAGAGAACACATGTTATACGAGTAACTTAAAGAAAAATAAAAACTTACAATAATAATATGTGATAGAAGAAAACATATAAGACTTTTTTTAATAAAATTTGCTTGTTTATTTTCCCATAATTGAGCAAAATTTTTTATAGATGTATCATCATTAATATTATCAACTAAATGAAGTAATTGATATGTATCATGAAATGAACGAAGATGAACATATATTGTATTATTTAAATGATCATAATAATATTCAAAATCATCTTCATTATTAACAACAGAATGTTCTTTGAATGCAGGCATCTGTATAAGTTGATTTAATTTCCAAGATTTATTACATTGTTGTTCAAATAAAGTACTTTTACCAATTAATGATACAATACATAATCGATTTTCTTTTCTACCAGAATTATCTACCATATCTATTGTTTTTTTCTTTTTCTTTCTATCAAGTATCTAAAGAATAATATTTTCATTTTTTTCGAATCATAATTCTTTTAAATTTTCTCGTATTTCATAAAAAATAAATTACATATGAATATTTGCATTTGTAAAATTATTAATGTTTTTAAATATGCAAAAGGACATGATAGGCTAAACAAATCTTAGATGGAAATAAGCAAAACAAAAACAAAAACAAAAACAAATTGTGGTTGCAAGAAAAAAACACTTATAGATTTAACGAATGGGAAAATATTATAAAAAAAAAGGCTAGTATTCTTATTTTTTTTTGTTTTCTGTATACCAGCTAACAAATAAAACACACGAACACACACAAAAATGAAGAACAGCGGATAAAATTTCTATACAATGTCTTAAAGCAATAAATAAAAACAAAAGGAAAGGAAGATGGCAACAAGAAAAACCAAAAAGAAAGAAATTTTTTTTCTTTTGTATACAATTAACTTTCGATGTCAACTAGAAATTAAAAAAAGGCACACAACAAATTATATGTTCATGGTACACACACATTATTCGTTATTTGTTTACTACTACTGTTCCATATGATGATTTTATTTTTTTCTTATGAGATCATTTGTCTTTAGAGGACTTCAACATAAGTAGCTGGATAAAGACCAACACGACTTCCAACACGTCCTTTACACCAACCTTGATCATCTTCATCTTCTAATTTAGTAAATATATCACCTTAACAAACAATAAATAAATAGATCTATAGAAAAATAGAAAGCTAAACTAAAAATTTACCTTGTTTAAATGATAATTCATCTGGTTCTTGTGCTTCATAATCATAAAGAGCTCGTACACGTATAGTGACACTATTATCATTGGATGAAACTCCTGTTGATGTTGGTGATTGATATGAACGTTGATGAGATGATGGTGGTGAATCAACATCATCATCATCTAAAAATGGATTAGATGCTGCTGGATATAATGGTGATTTATTATCATTTGTTGATAAAGATGGATAAGCACCATTATTTGTTGTTCCACCAGAATTTGAACTTAAAAAAAATGAAATATCAAATATTCATTAAAATATGAATAATAATATTTAAAAAAAAAACAAAAAAAATGTTTAATAGATACATGCATATCACGATTATGATATTTTAGTTAAAAATTGTCGTGCAAAAGACAAAGCGTCTAGTTTTGGATATGAATTCTCATATTCATGTAACACAAGAAAAAAGCAAATAGAAATGCATAAAACAAAAGAGAAGCTTCAATTCTTTATCTTTCTACCGCTTATTCGTCGACTTTTCTTTTATTGATGTATCATTATCATCTTCGTCATCATCGAAAGGATTCGAATTGCTTGTAGTAGTCGTATCCAAAGTGGGATAAACAGGTGAACGTGCCTTCTGCGCTGGTGATTGATTTACGGAGCTACACAAAAGTAGACGATAAATAGGATATAACCATAAAATAGAAAAAAAAAACATAAGAAAATGCTTAATAGGATCCAATTTTGACGAAGTCTATGTATTAAATCAGCAGAAGCTGATGTTGATAAATAAAATGCAAACATTACTATTGAATCACTCTCTTCATTAAATGACAGCTATTGATTAGAACGCTTAATCTCGTTTTTATTGGTGTAACTAAAACTATTTCATACAACTAAAAATTTTAGCGTAACTGTTGGTTCGGTGATTTTTTTTAGTTATCAATTAACTGTTCAATGGCTTTTATTTTTTAACATAGTGGTCTTTTCAACTTAGCAAAAAGTTTTAATTTATTAAACATCGAATTATCGGAAAGCGAACAACATGAAATAACTGTACGTATATGTTAACTTTTTTTTCTGAGGATCGCTAAAACCTTGATTCTTCATTTGTTAATGTATACAAAAGATGCCAAATTTTAATGGAGAAAAATTTGGGATCAGGTCCACAAAACCGTGAACACACAGCTTTCTAATATTGATAGTGCAGAATGAAATAGGTTCTCTATTGTCACATATTGAGTTTATCTGATTTTCTCTATGGTTCATTTCAGACAAAACAAGATATGCTCACTGTTCATTCTTTACAAAAGATAGACTCTACCGTATAAACCACATCTAGACTAAAATTTCCAGCAAGATCAGAATTGAAAAAAGCTTCCTCTTAAAAACCGGTTTTCTAGAGATTCTGCCAAGTCTCCAAAGAAAAAGTATATTTTACTATCATCTAGAGACTCTGAAGAAGGATCTGTGCCGTTTAGAATTAACTTTGAACTTCTCATTCAATTATAAGAGGTTTTTTTTGTTTGTATATTCGTACTCAGCTACAGTGCTAACGAATGATTTGATTGACATATTCCTTTGTGACAACAAAAACGGAGCATCAAAATTTTCAGATTATTTCTTTATATTTTTATTCATTCCACTTGTATTTATATCACAAGTAAGAAGCTTATTAGTCAGATGACTCTCAAAATTTCAGCTAGAAATAACAATAAAAATTTAGTGAAGATACTGCAGCAGCAATGTCTCATGTACTCTGTTGTAACTATAATAAGAGTGGTCGTTTCTTTTTAACATCAACACCTTCAAAACGAATGGAATTTTATAAGTGTTTTTGTATGCTTCAGGCGCAAATAACACAAACAGAACAAAAGTATCTATAAAATCCTATTGTTCTTCTAAAAATGAATGTTAACAAACAAAGAAGAAGAACAATATATTTATATTATAGTTAGCTACAAGTATATAAAAATATAGTTACAATTTTTTTAATGACCTATTACTGAAACTGTCAGAATATATTAATTAAAAAACTTGTCACCTGTGATATAAGTCAGAAAATGTTCCGTTTATTTTACAGTGGGAGACTAAGTATTCTAAAAATATTGACGTTAATTTCTTACTGATTTAATAAACGATTATCAGAAGATGAAGCAAAACTTGGTGGTCCATTATTATTTGAACGGATAGCAGTAACAATCACTGAATTTTCTCGTTCAATATCACCTTTACCACGACGAGAAAGTGTACGATGCGACTCTGAATATTCCTAAAAAAGAAAAAGAAATAATTAGAAAAAAAAATTCTAATATATAATTCAAAATGTTTCTTTTTAGGTTCGTCAATACTAGTTAGCAAAAAGAAAGAAAGAGCCAAGCAAAAGAAAGAAACAAAATAATATATATATATACCCAATATAAAAGAAAAAAATATATATATCGTCAGTATATAGGCAGCAAAGAAACCAATGTATAAGTTTTTTTTTTCTAATAGTGGAAGCCTAAGTATATGTATATATAGATTTATAGATATGTGATGATCTACTTCACGCTTGGCAAGATCACGACGAATGCGTGTAACAACAGCTGCAGTTCGTCGCATCGATCGACGAATAGTTGCATATGAATCGACAACTAAAACAGCAGCATTTGTTTGACTAACAATCTGTGCTAATGGTCGTCGATAGCATATATCATAACCCAATGACAAATCACCAGAATAAGAAAAATAATTATGTTGTGATTGTGGTTGATGATGACAATGATCTAGATTTGTTGGTTCCTAAGAAGGTGGCAAGGCAAGGCTGATAATCGAAATAATAGAAGCAAGAGAGAAAAAAAAAGGAAGAAAAGTTTTTGGCAAGTTTGAGAAAAAAAATCAAGAAGAAGCATTCATAAAATTGATAAGATCAGTAATTGCAATAGAAAGATAATTAGTTAAATACCTCGAATACTGGCCAATTCATTTTCATTGTTGCACCATATGTATCCGACCACCATGATAAATCTTTATCTGGATCACAATTTTCAATTGTTTGAGAAAATTGTTGAACTATTGGTGCTCTAATAGAATAAAAAATTATAGAAAATTCAGTTTGAAGTTTCACATCAATCGTCATGTATAAAATAAACAATAAATATTCGAAAAATTTACTTCAACTTTAGAAAACTTATAATAATATTAAATTTTATATTGAATAAATTTATTTGATATTTTTCGTTTTCTGTTTATCATGGTAGCACAAAAAGGATTCCTATCAACATTTATCTTATCTATAGAAAAAAATCCAACATATTTAACCAAACTATAACAAAAAAATATTCAATTCTCTTTTTTTGATAATGCGACTTTTGAGCTATTCTCTATAACTCTCATTTGCAATTGATCACGTTCAGACATACGGGAATAATCGATTACTGTTATCTGATATATACACGATGGGTCATAAATAACAAAACCATAAAAAAATATAAGAATATCTCCACTTCAGTTCAATATAATGGGCTCTTTAGAGGTTTTTTTCTTTCTTTCATATCGATAACATATAAATAAATAATACTTTGAAGTATCATTATCAAGTTTAGTTACATAGATTTAGATTGGTCTCATACATCGCTTGTCTTTGTTACCTAAGACAATAACATACAAAAAAGAAACGACAAAATGAAATCTATAAATGATATAAATTTTCAAGCATGTAACCATTTTTTTTTGAGCTGATATTCAACAAATTCAATTATGCATACGAATTATTGGACACGAATTTATACATTGAAAGAAACTGTTGTAAAAGTTTGCTTCATATGTATCAATGTAATAATCTTCATAAAGTTCATGTTAATTTTTCTTTTGTTCTTTTATTATTGCCTTCGATAGACATCTCTAGTATACTCAATAATAATACTTCAACGAAGCATTTGTTTATGTTATCGGTATAAAAAAAAAAAAAAGAAATCTTCTGAATAGCCCATTAGATTGACCTGAAGTGGAAATATTCTGATTCTTTTTCTTTAATGGTATAGTTATTTATAATCAACTGTGTATACAGTACTACATGTATAGTACCGCTTAAAATAGCATAATTCAATTTACTTACTTTAATCGATGACTAATATCAAGACATTTTTCAGTATTGGCTAAAAATTCTTGAAATTTAACAAGACGATCTCTTTCAAATGTTTGACACCGGATAAAAACCTTTCATAGAAAGAATAAATAAATAAATTATTAATAATAATTGATATTTACATCGTTCATATCATCCATATATTTAGGATTAGCTCGATTAAGATCTTGAAGTGCTTCAGCATATTTAGTTCTAGCAGCTTCTTTTTCTTTACGACATCGATCAACTCTTTCAGTAATTTTAGCACGCTAAAATTAAAACAAAAAAATTACTTTTTTTTTTGTTTATCAAATTATACTAATGATATTTATATACTTGGTCTTGTGGAACTGAAGAATCAAGTTTAGAATTATTTTCTTGTGTTTCAGCCGTTTTCAGACTTTTTGTGGCAACATGATATTCACGCTTATATTTATCAACTTTACCATATAATTTAGCCCATGGTTTTTGAGCCTATTGGAAAAAAATCCAAAGATCAAATAATAAGATTAATCGAAAAAAAAGTAAAAACACAAAATACGAACTCGTTTAAACTCTTCATCGAATTCTTTTGTTGATTTGACATGCATCATTGATTTAACATATTTTCCTTTTTGCCATGATTTTACTGATGGTATAACATCATTTTGTAAATCATCATGAACATTTTGATGAACTTCAGCTGTTGCATCAGCTTCAGCCATGATTGCTTTCCAAGCTGCTGTCATTGAACCAAATTCAGATGCTTAAAAGTAACAAAAAAAAGAATGTATTCAATAGAACTATTATTTTGAAAAAAATAAAAACCATTATTCATTTACATTTTGCTACATATTCAGACCATTTTTTGGACCAACTTTTAAGCATTTTTGAAAATGATTTTTCAAGTTCAGCACGTTCACCAATCATACTAATAAGATCAGTTGTTAATTTATTTCCATCGTCACATCGTTTTACAACTCGACTATACTTCCCAATCTATAAAGAATTGAATTATATAGAAAGTAATAAAAAAAACTAATTGTTTGTTTTTTTTTTTCTAGCGCTTAATACATACTTCCCAAAATGAATCAGTTGGTGGTATATAAAGATCACTGTCTGCATTGGATTTATCACTAATTATTGAATCCATGACAGAATAACAAATTGATTAAAGACGAAATAAAAAATGCAACAATCTAAAAGCAAGGCAAAAAAACAAAAAATTACCTTTTTTTTTGCAAAGTAGATTATTTTTACTATTATCATTGATATATCAAAAAAATTTAAAAACAAAAAACTTGTCATTTAATCCGTAGATAAATGTCATCTCATGGTACGTTTCTATCATGCACACAAAAATAAAAAACACATTTTTATCATGTGATATATAAATGAAAAGAGAAAGTACAAGGTAAAGAATAATTATAAGACATGAAATCAACAGTATCACGATCATTATTGAAAAAAACATATGCCTTTCATTCAATAATGACGAACAAGCAGATGTTATCACTTATTCTTCATACTGATTTTGATGAAGAAGCATAAAAAGAAAATAATAATTTATGAACATCTTCATTATCATACTCAAAAAGGTATATAACATAGGAAAAGAAAAAAAGCATTGGGATCTCTTAAGTCACATTACTCTATCACTACAACATTCTCTCGTCCAACAGATTCAGGTCAAATGAACCATGTTAGTTGTTTGTGTATGTGTGTGTGTGTCGGTCTTTTTCTTTTTCTTTCTCCTCATATTTTCGATCAAGTTTCTCTTTTTTCACAAATTCTCTCATTTTCTTCTTCCTCTTCTCTCGATGCTTTTCCAGTGTTCTAAATTTTCGCAAAAAAAGGCAAAAAAAAAAGAAAGAAGAAGAATATCGAACTATACGACCGATTTAACTTTATTACCTATTGATTGTTTCTATAAACCATGGTATGAAGAAAAAAAATAAAATGATAACAACAATAATGACTTTGCTTAGTAAATCCTTGATGATTGCAATAGAAATGAATGAGATAGAAAAAGAAAGATAAGGATGAATGAATATTATACGGTCTATCGGTAATAGACAATGATCATATCGTGTATACTTGTTAACTGAACTAACGTTTAAAACATTGTATTCGAGACAGGCGATTATGATCTTTGTATTTGTATATATATTTTTTTCTCGACTCCCTTGAGCAGTAAAATATATTATTTTTATTTTCCCAAATGAGAAATCAGCCAAACTATTCATGTTCTATTTCCGTATAGAAATGTGAACACATAGAAATAGAAATAAATTGATAATTGATCAGTAAAGAAAGAAAATAATGTCGACGGATAAATTGAAAGAAGCAGTACCTGTACATTATGAATATTGTTATTGTTGTTTTTATTCTGCTTCTTCTGTTCATTCACAGTTCAGGTCAATCGATGCCTTATCGACAACATCAACACTACCGACGCCTCGACAACAACGTAATGTCAGAGAGCATATACATATATACATACGAAAAGAGAGAATGAATTGAAGTATGTGAACGAATAATTGTTCGGAGTTCATCTCCGTTGTTATGGTAGGAGAAAAAGAAGGAAGATGAGAATGAATGATTTCTTGTGGTTGGTATGTGATGTTCGATGTATAACTATGTACATATATTATTGAACATTCACGAAAATGTAAATGATCTTGAACTCATACGATCATCGAATCATTGGATGTTGACGTTCATTCTTTTTTATGTTAATGAGAAAATTTCGATTCAATGTTATCCAACTGAAAAATTTCTATGTTAATTGTACAAAGAATTTCGCAAAAAAAATCTATTGTGTTATTGGTTCTCATATAGTTTTTTAGGAATTATTTGAAAGAAAAAGATAAGTTAATCTTACCAGGAAATAATACTTACTTAAGTTCTTCTTTATGTAATAGAGGTAATCAAAACCTGAATATCACTTGTTTGAAAAGTAAAATAGCCCGAACTCGGATATGCTTAGAAAGGCAAAAGTGGATGAATAAGTACGAAAATTTTCATGACTAAGCAAACAATAATAAACAGAAGGAAGAAAAAATATGAAAGGAAAAGAAAAACATGTTCTTATTGCTTCATTGGTGATTTGAAAAGATTAAAATATAATTAATTATATTATTATTTATTTTATTTGAACAATTTATTTTAAAAAGCAATTTTTTCTATAATTTTCATATTTTTTATGAATAAACAGATGTCACTAAATAAGCATCCAATTACTAATCGGTTTTTCTGTTTAACAAATCACGATTTAAACAAAAGAATTTGTTGATATTATTTTTTTTATCGATAATAGTTGCTATTTCATTAGTAAAAACAATGGCATCGTTAGTAAGTCGTGGTTTAGCACAGCTCAAGAGCAAAGAAATGCGTGATTATTTAATGAGGTAAAATATAACAAATTGTAAAATTAGTATTTTAATCTTTTTAATAAATTTTAGCACGGTAAGACATTATATAAATGATTTATTTGATCATCTTATTTATTTTAATTTTATTTATATGAATAGCATTTTTGGGGACCAGGTAAATATTCTTATTGATTAATAATAAATACATGAAAAAATTTTTTATTTATTTTCAGTTGCTAATTGGGGTTTACCATTAGCTGCTCTAGCAGATTTAAAAAAAGATCCTGAAATTATTAGTCCAAAAATGACTGTTGGTAAGACTTAAACAAATAATTATCTTTAATATTGAAATTCATTTTTATCTGTATTTTTACATAGCATTATGTTTCTATTCAATGTTATTCATGCGCTTTGCTCTTCAAGTGAAACCCAAAAATCGACTTTTATTTGCCTGTCATTTTGCTAATGAATGTGCACAATTAATACAATTGGCAAGATTTCTTAATTACAAGTACAAACTTCTTCTTGTTTGTTTGTTTTCCCTAGTAATTATTTTGTTTTTCTTTAAGATACGGTACACAACAACCGATGAAACAATATAAAGTTCCATCAACTGTTGTTGAATCACAATGAAATACACCATCATCCGTTCAACCTGCACGTTCCACATAAAAAAATAAAGATTAGATTTAAAAAAAAAGAATTGCAGTAGTTTTCACTTTTTTTTTCTACTTTAGCATTTATTGTTCTCGAAATGTTTTTTCTTCTGTCTACTATAGATTAGGTTATCAAACAGTCAGTTTTTTAGTCAACTATATCAGTATTAAGTCTTTATTAAACATGATGTGCTGATAAGTAAAAACTAAAATTGATAAACAAATGTATGTTATTGACTATCAAAGAACCGCAATAAATGTAAATTCATCTTTTTCTTCTAATTCGATGGTTGTAAACTGTGATTTCAACTTTAACAAAAAGAAAACTTTGAGGAATTATTATTTTAATGTGAATTCGTATTTGTATTCCGAAGTACTGACAAGTCAACATGGCTTGAAATTTCCATATTTTATATTCACAATAGTTCATAAGATTATAATGAACCTTTGTTTTTTCGAAAATCATTATGAAAAATAATTAAATTCAATCTTTTCATATAATTAGATACTTTCAATGAAGATTATAGAGAGAATATTCTAGCCTATTGATGTTTGCTCTATTCTACTCAGAAAGAAAAATAAAATCGCACTAATTTACAAAACTAACTCTTTAGTCATTTCTCAATATAAATCACAAAATGAATGTCACGCATTAGGACTTTCGATGTTCATTTTAAAATAACAGGTAAGCCATAATAAATTTGACTAATTACAACTGCAATTTTTCAATCATTTGTTTATTAAAAGATGAATAATTTCAAGCTCTACAAAACAGTGTACTTCACTTTTTCAGATACACTATAAAGTAGAGAAAACTTATTTTTTAAATTCTTCTTTAGAAAGAACTCATTGAAGAGATTTAGCAGTAATTTCGATAGTCCTCAGAGCAGCCTACAAAAATGAGATGCGAACAATTTTTTAAAGGATAGCTATTTTAGTTTTTATACCAAAAACATATTTTCTTCAGAGCAAAAAAAGGAAAGCACATTTTTAGTGTTTAGTCAATAATTTTGTTATTCAATGATAACTGAAAGCTGTTTTATACATCTGTGTAATGCATAATGTTACGAGCTACATTTTGATATCAAGCACTCATTCTCATATTAAAATATCAATTAATACCAGTAACTGATTGATTAGAAATAGTGAGTGATTAATGAATAAAATTTCGCTTTGTTGTCAACTATGAGATATCTTATGAAAAAGAGTATTAAAAATTGAACAAAATGAAGTAGTTATTATCAAATTATTCCGAGAGTCCGTGCAACTCATATTCTAGGAAACCATAGTATATGAAGTGCTGCATTTAATGGATCACGAACACAGTTTAGATGAAGTTGTACGGACAATCGGATAAGAACTACTTCATTTTGTTCAATCTTTAATGCTCTTTCTCATAGAATATATGGTACTTGAAGGCAAAGCAAAATCTCCTTAGTTGGTATTGTAATACTAACTAAGTCAGAAAAACATGATACTGGTCTAACTGGACTTAAATTAAGAACGAGTGACAAATAAACTTTATAGAGTGAAAGTAGAAATTCTGTCAGACAGGAAAGGGTGAGAATTAAAAAGTTTACTTTGCACATTTCTAATAAATACATAAAAGATACAATGGTATTCTTATATATTTTAGTAATTTTCTGATGTTATGACAATAGATAGATGCATGTATGAGTGCAATTTATACTGTTCTCTAATCATATATTCTAAAATAAAAATAATCAAGGAATTCAATATGCACTTAGTTCGAAGAAGATATTTATTTCTTATTCTTGTAGACATGATAATGAAAATCAAATCAGTCGAATAATCGGAATGAATCTATGAATAATTCGATAGTAGATGACTTTTATTAACTCAATATGGTAGGTATATTGATTATGTACGCAGAAATTTGTTATAAGAAATATACAATTACAATGGTTCACTCGGCTTGTTTTAGAATTGGAGAACTTTACATTTTGTTTTATACGTTCAGTTCTCGGAGCACGGGCAACGCATATTTGTGTTCTGCAATTTTATGCTCGGAATAGTTTTTATAAATATTATGTCTTGATTACCCATGTGATTCGAATCAAACAAACGTGTGACATTAGTATTCAATTAAATGAAACGCATATGTGCCTACGTTTATAATATTTTTTCGGGTCAAGATCAATTATACTCGTATACTAGAATCACTTGTGAGTATAGGTTTTTCGTTAAAGTTTAAATATTTGTGAGCAGTTATTATTTCTTTTAAAAGTCACTGTCTGTCATGTTTCTCGAAATATTGATATTCTTCGTGTTAAAACATTCGTTGTTGGACAAGTTCCGTTTCTTTCTTTGGAGGTATGCGACACATGTTTCGATTCAGATTATGCTAAACACAAGCGACAGTTATTTTTGAAAGTAACGATAGCTGCTCATCACTAATTCGAACCATTTCGAATACGATTTCATAATTCTTCATATAGATCAGTTTAAAACAACATTCGAGAGTAGTTAAGATCTTACTTATCAATTGTGAAGTCTTATTTTGAATAATGCACTTCATGACATTAAAAAAAAACAATAATTTTGTTTTTCGAAAATTTTCATTTATTATTTCAGAAAAATGAATTCCATACTCAAAGAGTTAAAGGAAGCGTATGCGACATGGAATCTATGAAACATTTGATTGATGAATAATTATATACAAAAAAAATCTGACAGCTATATACCATTTGATGATTATGGATAGTTCTGTAGAATCTGTGTTTGACAAGTAAACAGATCTTATTGATCAAATCAACTTTATTATTTAAATCATTAGAGAATCATGTATCATTATTCTTTCAACCTTTCATTATTTACAGATAGCTTATAATGAATTATGCTATTTGACTGATATTCCTTAGTTAGGAACATCTAATCAATTCGTTCATAATATCATCCTCACTAATTCTATACAAATTTTTCAATTAAATCTTCTAGGTCGAATTATTTGAAAAAAAGCATTATCATATGTGTCTATTGATCCAATTACAATACAAGTTTTATCTTTATGTATAATTTACCTAACAAGCGTAGAAAATAGAAACAAACATTTGTTTAAAAAAAGTGAACAAAGATACACGTGTCGTATAGATAAGTTTATAGGAATATTCAGTAGTTACATTTTGATAAATATATTTGATGGCGTATATGTATATGTCTTCTGTCCCCTCACCTACATTTACATCCACACTCCTATCATCAACTGAATAATAATTTGTATTATTTTGAAGTTCGCATAAGTTGGCATATCTTTCGAGCCCGTTAAATATTAGAATGTGTATTCAACAGATTTATGTGTTCCATGCATATACATGATTGCCTTGCTTTGATGCTTCAATGGTTAACTTAGTAAATTGAATTAGAAAGTCTTTTTCAAACGTCTAGTTTGTATTATTCCTATCATAAATATGAAAAGATAATCATATGTAATATAAATATTTTGATGGTATTTTTACCAATATGTGAATATTGTTTTTGTCTCTAAAACTAATAAGCTGAGCAATTATGAAGAATCGTTAGAGCTTTGCATAAGTGTTTAAAATAGATCGATAAGAGATGTTTTCTCTTCGATTTATTGTTAAAATTTCCACAAAAAGATCGAAGTGGAAAATATATAGAATTCTCGTAGCTAATATCTAATATTTAATAAAAAATATTACCAAAATATGAGAAGACGCTGTTGTAAAAATAACGATTGAATTTTCATGCAGATTAAAACGATTTTTATCACTTATCTGAATCCAATTCATTACAACAGAGTGTATAGATATGAACAAATTGGTCTCAGTCTTGAAGTCATAAGCAACTAGTTTTACCGATGTCTACTAATGAGACTAGGCAAAACCTATACTGATAAGTACAACTAAAACATTCTTTTCGAGTAATGACATTTTACTGAGCTCCTGACTTACAATGGAAAATTCCCAAGTGTGACTCGTCAATCAAACTGATGTTTTGCTCATAAGAGTATCTCAATGAAACTATTCGAAACCTTTAGCAATTCGTCCACATCTGCTGTCATTTCGAAATTAGTGCAGTTTATCGAGTTTTTTTTTTCTTGGCACAGTGTTTGTGAAAAAATCAAAGTGTGGAATTTTAACGTGAAACTATGGCCCATAGAAAATCTCGTGGTACTTAGAATGTCCTAATAATATCAGCTTAAACGTGTGGTGTTCTACTTGTTATATTGAATAATCAAAAAAAAAAAGAAATTATGAATCATAAGCAAAGATAAGCAAGACCAGTATTTTCAAGATTCAATATTTCAAGAACAGCACACTGTTTTGGACTAAAATTGTCAAAATACTCAGAGGTTGACGAAACCTACCCATTGGCAGAATTTACAGGTTGAAATTCTTAATTGATTTTTCACACATAACTACCCGAAAATAAAAGCAATTAAGTAAAATTGTAATAAGTTGAGAAGAGTAGCCTATGGGGATAAATTCTTATAGGTTTCTACTAGGTCTTATTGGAACCTACATATTGGCAAAATATTAGTTCGATTGGAGAATCACACTTGAAGATGTTTCCTCGTTAGTGTAATTCAATATGGTCACTTTGATCTGCTTAAATTTATGCCTAAACTGAATAAACTTGTTTCTTTCGATTTCTATGCTGAAGTTTTAAGTCATGTTCATGATTAAAATAAAAATTTGTATCGAATGTAATATAAATTTTATCTTTGAAAGATGTTCAAGACGACCGAATCAACTGAAAAATAATATAATATCACAATAATTCGAAACAAAAAAAAATATCTTTGAATTATTTTTCGTCATAATAATTTGTTTATTTAATATATGTATATTCTCCTGTTAATTTACCGCTCATTAGAATTTTATTAAGAAAAACATGATTTTTTTTTTGTTAACTTAATGTAAAGAAAAGACAGTATATAAATATAATTTGATGTTTCATCTTATGTAAAAACGAAAAAAAAAGAAGCAAAAGAAATGATAATGATGAGGTTGACAATGGAGTTGCTTCTTATCAATCGTTTTTACTAAGTTTGCATACTTTTTTCTTTCTTCTGATCAACCGTCACAACTGTCTACTATATCAGCATAGTAGTACATAGCTTATCATATGCAAGTCGTGTATATAGTATATGATACATATTACTAACTATATCATGGCGATGCAGGTGACTGAATAAATGACTGTTACTTTTTTTATTTAATGGCTTGCTTCTATTTTACCGTCTCGATTTCTCTCCATGACTGATTACATATATACAAGTATCAATTTTACTCTTGAATGTCATCGCGTACTCTATACAATCATATCAGTAATATTATCAAATATAAATCAAGAAGTCTACATCTAGACCATGTTCATATTCTACTGATTCATCTATGATGAGAAACAGTACGAATATATTTATGAAGCAAAGAAATGAATATGAACAATAGTAAAATAAATAATAATCGGATAATATTAAAAATTCAACATAATTCAATACAAACAACGTTTCATAATTGAAGAAATCAACTATTTACAGAGGTAGAATAAAAACGTTTACTACAAGAGTTTCTATTAAATTTATTACTATCTACAATATTCAGTGAGAACAAAGAATCAACGAATAGACTCAATCTCCTATTTCGAATAAAATATTTAAGTGAAATTACTTTTATATTGTTTTTTTTTTAATATAGAAGATTTTCTTTAAACTCCATAAATTGCTTTATAACGTTCACAAGCAATTGATAGCATGTTGATATAGCATACCATTCTCTTCTAAAACAATATTAACTGACTTTATTTTCAATAAATTCTAGGTTCGATTTTTGAAACATTATATATAACTAACAATCATATTATTCGCCAATGAATACCTCGATATGAATTACAAAAAACATCAAACCGAATTTTCTCAATAGATTTTCATGTTCTACAATCTTAACAGACATAATGGTCTAAATAAAATATTATCAAATGAAAGTGAATATTGCAGAATATGTGATTCTCTTACAGTAATCACCTTGTATCGATTTGATGTCATTGTTATACTTTAAGGTCACGATGTCACTCGTACCTTGATTGAGCTAAGAAATATTGATTTCTATGTCACGATGTACAAATGAGTATGACTGTAAAATAATGTTTGTCAATTTTGAAAGTAAGCAAAATATATAAATGATAACTATCAACAGTATTTTTTTACAATTATCTTTCCTTTGATTTTTTTTTTCATTGACAATCGATTTATTATATTCAAAAGAGAAACATGAATAATTATCATGATCAATAAATATAACACGACAGTCACTAGTAAGGAACAATTAATAACGCTCTTTTTTATTACCCCATTTACACGTAGTCCAAGCGAATTTTTATGAAGTAAGTTCTTCATTTTTCTTATTATTCACCTTTATGTTACTGTCTTATTATGCATTCACATATATATATATATATATATATATATAAATATATTTATAAATATATATATTTACGTATATATATACATGAAGTTACTTACTTTTAGATATTGACATTCAATTGTAAACGCTGTATTACAATTTCTACATAAACAAAAGCAGTTCGAATCAAATTTTGCACAAAATTTTTTTCTGTCAATTCCTCATTGATCAATAACGATATATATATCTATTCAAATGGCTGATACACCGAAGTTATCTTCTAATACACAAGAAAATATTATGGTGCTGACAAATGGTGAGAGAGGCAAACATCAACAATTACTACAAAAGAATGATAAAGAATGTGACGAACTATTAGAAATTAAGCAAATCGAATTTGAACAACGTTTGATTATTCAACGAATGGTTCATTTGGAAGTAGAAAAAGAACGATTAAAAAATTTATTGAACGCATTAAAATCTTTAGGTTCAGACGATGATGATGATGATGATCAATGTGTGCAAACAAATTAACAATGACTTTAGTGTATTCATTAGAATTTTGGTTTTTATAAATATGTTATTGTATTTTTACATGATAAATAAAAGTGTCTGTGACACATAATTTAAGAAAAAAGCTTCATTACTTTTAGAAACATAGATGCTAAGAAGAAGTCATCAAAGAGGTTAGAAAGACCTTGTCTTTATGTTACAACTTGTATCAAGAATGATTAACTAGAAAAAAAACTATAGAAAAATCAATCAAAAAATAATTTTTTTCTTTTCATACAGTCATTGTAGACATTTATCTCATATGATTTGCAATTACTTTTGCATTCAATAAAAAAAATACCAGAATGTTTGCCTTATTATTTGCTAAGTATTGGTTTCTGTAGAGCGAAGAATAAAAAAAATTCGTTATCAAAAATTTCTTCTGTTATCTAGGACGATAAGCCTGTACATGACTATATTTTACTGTATTTTGTGGCTCAGTATTACGGACGTATATCTTGATGACTGTATATTAAACCAAAACGAAGAGCACATACTGTCTCTGTATACGAGGAGAGTAAACAAGTGTTTGTTTTTCTCTATAGATCATCGTATTTTTCTGTATATGATCATATACCAATGCATTTGCTTTCCCTGAGTATGACTGTATGATAACTTTGCTATTTTCTTACAACAAGTTTTAATAACCCAATAAGTACTATTTTGGAATTCAGACTATGTTGATTTTTGATGACCAATCATATGAGTCAAACCTGAATCCTGAACTCAATTATTAAAACATCTTACATCTGAAATTCAGATACTCAACTATTCCAGAACGGTCTTGTCAGCGCATTTATGACAAGGATACAAACTTATCTGTATATGAGGTGCAATGTCAAATATCATAAGTGTATTATTTTTACTTGAATCATTTACAATATAGTCATGTTAATAAACCTTATCACATGCTTTCCAATAGAAATGAAATGAACAATAAAAGAAAGAATACTTGGCATTCATATGGTGAACAAAATAATAATAAAACAAACATAAAGATATAGAATTCACAACGTAATCAATATAGACAAACGAACGACAAAAAGGGGTAAGTTTTTCTCTTTATTTATTTTTTCTTGCATTTCTCGTATGAATGAATAAATCATAATTTATTAATTCAACTTGATGATACACGTGTTTGGATTTGAATAAATCTCAAACTAGCTGAGCTAAATAATCTTTCCATTGAACCATTAGTCGCTAATATGGTGTCTTTTTTCTGACTACAATTGATAATAATGGAGAATTACTATGAATTCCACTAATAGAGTAAAACTTCATTGGTTTACGATCAATGAGGAATCTTAGATGTTCTAAGGACTCAAATATTATCGTGCAGATCCTGCGCCCTGAAAAAGGTTGTTCTGTTCCTGTATGTGCAGGATAAAATAGATTATCTGCAGAAGATGTTCTTTCGGACACGCGTCTTATGATGCTCTCTTATATCTGAAGATCTGACCTGTATAATTGAATAGTTGATGTCTGAAAATATCTTCAATAGTTGAATTCAACTTTCAAGTTTGACACTACTCACTTTTGAAACACTCTGTGCAATCCTACTGATCAATTTTAATTAAAGCTGATCAAAAATCAGTGACGTCAATGAGAAAAGCAATGATTGTGTGATTCAACATGTTTTTTAACTATTTCAGTCTTATGATTCTTCAGAAAATACATCTTAACACTTTCTATAACGACATTTAGCTATATTTCGAAACTAGACATCGGTTTAGGCCAGACAAAAGAAATTATCGTGAGATATTGGTAATATTGATGCTAAAAATGTTATCAAGGAGTAAAGTAGCATTAGTTCATTCACAACTTGAAAGAAAATTACTTTGTATCCGTTTATTCCATATCAACTAATTAGTGAAAAACTTCTTCAAAAGCGATCGTCTTCTTTCTGCACCATTATTCTTGAACAAATAAATTTTTATTTATATTCTCTCATAAAATGACGTGACAGTAAACATAGAATTATTTACATCTACATAACACACATGCTTCTACATCACTTTAATCGTCATCTAGGAGAACGGTTATAATTTTTCACATTTTATAATCAATCCATGATGAGTCTCATTCAAGTCTGATAGAACTTTCAATATGACTTATTATTTTAAGGCGTGCTTCGATGGACCAATTTAAGATGAGATATAAAAGGGTGCTTTGATCAACGATGACTAGAAGTTCTCGATCCTTTTTAAAATTTTCTTAATTCGATGGAATTTTCAAACCATGAAGGGAACAACGATAGCAAATAACTTGATGCTAACCAAATGGATAAGAAAATTCCTCAAAACTGATTCTGCATGTCGAAAATTTGCAAAAATTTAGTATTTACTTTTATTTTCTGATGGCTTCTTTCAAAACGAAAGAATAGCTAAAATAGAAATCGATCAAAAAGAATTAGAAATCAATCCTTCATAAGTAGCGAGACGAACAAAAGTGAACCGGTAGAATACACCCACCTCATATTCTTTCTGTATTCAAATCGATCTATATTCCAACTCACCAATTATCCACGAGATAATAATCAGAAGTGAGGGATAATTTTAAAAAAATAATAGATTTACTTAGGACAATACGAATGGCTCTACTAATCATCTCGAAACCTTACCAAGAATCATAACCAAAATCTATCGTACATTTTTTTCAAAATACTCATATATTTGAAAAATTCTAAACTCAGGAAGATGAATCTTTCATATAAAACATACAATGCGCAAGCATAGTATTATGATATTCTCATGCTCAAAACTGTGACAACAACGCATTTAATACTATTGGTTTCTACGATCGTGCATTATCCTTCATTGTTAGTGTAATATGTTTAGAAAGGCAAATTTTTGTTTAACATGAGATAGTTTATTTTATTTCAGAATGTCTAACAAAAAGAATAAATAAATTAATCAACTAAAAAAACAACTAGATAAAAATAAGAATTTATAACACCCAAATTTTCATTGATTGTTTGTTGGTTATTATTAAAGGATAAATTAAACGATGAAGATCCGGAACAGCAGATTTTTTCATTTTTTTTGTATTCGGAGTAGATGAATCAACAGGACGAGGAGTATATTTTGATAATGACCAACGAATATGAGCCGGTCGTGGTGTAGAACATAAATTTGGAAGAATAAGAGTTGTATCAATTTTTTTTGGTGTTGATGTTAATTGTGGTTCAAATGTAGTAGAACTATAATGAAATACATGTATTAATATTCCATTCAATATTCTTACACAAACAAAGGTTACTTACTTCATAGTAGATGTATCGAATAACCTAGATTGAGTGATAGATGAGTATTATTTGTGAAATGATTTGGAATATAAATTGTTAAATATGTTTGAGTTGCATGGACATAAATATCAAGATTAGTAATTACAACTCGAGTAAATTGCTTGCAATCAATAGGGCAAACCAATAACAATTTATTCGATGTGATCAAAAACACTAATTGATGTAATTTTTCCCAACGTAAGCTTATTAGCTGATACAAAAAAAAACAACATATTGCGTTCTCTTTTTCATTCTTTGATCAATCGACGTAACAAGTTCGACTGATGATATTACAAACATATATATGAATGTTATGTGTTATTTCAAAAAAGAACAACATGATTCTGTTTTTCAATGTGAAAATGCAGAACGTCTAGATAATTCTTGAAAAATTCGTCTATGTCAGTTTTGGTGATTGAAACACATGATACACATTTAAGAAGAAAAAATTTCTGAGAGAATATTGTATTCTTTAAACAGTTTTCAAATTTTTATATCATTTGAAATAGAATAATGTTTAGTTGTTTTCAGAAACATCAATGAAAAAAACGATATTATAGGAAATTTTACACCAGTTGCTGATTAAAGCTCGAATAAAGTACAGTGTTGGTTTCAAACATCATAAGTAAGGATACATACATGAATACTATTTCCATCACGATAATACTAGTCCACTTTTTTGATAGTAAATTTTTTTCTCGATATATTCCATAACTTTGCCCGTCTGATTTCTCATCATCTGTAGGTGAATTTGTCACTAGAAACGAATTCTCTTTTGTAAAACAATATTGTTTTCGATTTTTGTGACCTGTTCTCAAGCATAATAAAATACTCGAGTTTCCACTCCTATGCTTTTATACGAATAGCAGTTTGAAAAAGTACAAATATTTCGAAATATCGAGATTTCATCTACTGTTGGGTATTTGATCTAGTTGCAGGGAACAAATAATTAATAATAAAAAATAAAATTTTCAGTTGTGATAAATATGATTCTTTTTTTTCTTAATATTCAATAATTTCAAATCTATTTATTTTATTTTCCGTATCGTATAATATAATATTCATAATCTAAAAGACATTTACCAAGTACACGATATATTTATATACAAAATTTTTTCATCTGGTGTAAAATCAACACGTACAGTATTTCTATTTTTTGTATCAAAAATTTCTTTAACAAGAATATTTGGTTTAATATTTCCATGCCCATCAGTAATTTTAACATGATAATTATTATTATTATTACTATTATCATCGTCATCCTGTGTTGATGTTCGAATATCGGTTGATGATGATGATAAAGATGATTTTGATGATATATCATCATTTGAACTATAACCACTTTCATATGTTGAATTTTTATCATTAAAATTTGTTGTTAGAAAATCTTTTAATGTAAAACAAAAATGTGTCGGTTGATTTAATGTTAAACATTGGTTATTTATAGCTGGACCAATTAATAAAATATCTTTCTCTTGTATTGATTGACAATAAAATGGATTGTTTTCAGCGACAATACTAGCATAATCAATTGATATTAGATGCCTACCTAATGTAATAGGTGTAAATGAACATAAATATGAGGAACGATGACGACGACGTATTGATACAAATGGTGATTGATCATCATCTGTTAATATATCAACATGAAGTGCATTGTTTGAATCATCAAATGGATTATCAATAAAGACCTTTGAAT